GCAACGTATGAAACGTCCTTAAACTAATATCAATAACTTCAGCTAATTTGTTTTCTTTTAAATCTCCGATTATTTTTTTAATAGCTTCCATATGATTTTCTATATTTGGATCAGCTTTTTGATTCAAGACGAAATGAACGATAGGTTGATTTGTAGTATTAACACCAATTTGTTTTAATGAGTCTGCACATAATGTTAACATATCTTTTAATGTTTCATTAATATCACCCATCATATTGACGATGACTAAATGTGATATTGCTAAACAAAATAAAATTAAACGTCGATCGTATTCTTTATCACCCTTTTCAATTGATAATAAACCTTCAGTATCGATTAACATAATATAATCAATGTTTGCGGTTTCATCAAGTAAATTTTTTTTAAAAATATTCTGAATCATTTGATTCAATTTATTTATTTTGACTAATGAACCATAAATTCCTCGTGTGCAACGTCCTTCTCTAACACCAAACAATGTTCCAAACATGTAGTTTAACAATGTACTTTTACCACTGTTTTGTGGACCAATAATACTAATAACTAATATTCGTCGAGAATGAAATTCATTCAAAATCTCTGTTAAAAATTGTTGTTGAAAATAAAAATTATCGCCATCAATTATTTCAAATGGAAAACCAGCTGCAATAAAATCATAATAAGATTTTCTTATTAAATTTTGTGTATCAATTGTTGTATGATGATAACAAACCACTGAATTACGCCAAAGTACTTCCAATGACAAAAAAGAATTTTCAATCGATAAATCACCAGCTAATTTATCTCCACCTAAATTTGTTAATTCGCGTTTCAATTCTGATGCTAATAAATCCAAACTCATCAACGAATTTTCTGATTTTAATATTTCAATAAATGAATCAAAAACATAACCACATTTCATTGGTGATGATGTTGTTGTATTAGGATCCAATTCATTTTCTAATTTAAATAATTGAGAATTAACTTCAAACATATTTTCACTTTCTGGACTATAGAAGTCAATCTTTTTCAATTTTTGTCGTAATTTACATAATTCTCGAAATTTCAAGTATAACGGAAAATTTTGTTCTCTTTGATGTTCACTTTTTTCTAACAAGCGCTTTTTCAACGGCTGAATTATTTCATTCATTTTTTTTAAATATTCAACATAATCTTTTTCCAGCAATTTTTGTAAATTCACTACCACTACATCTTTATTAATGATCGTTTTTATTTCTTCTTTTATGTATGTTACAAGATTTTTACGTAAATATTCAACAGCACATTTAACATTTCGATCATTTGTATTGGAAATATTTAGTAATGAGCACACATGTAGTTTTGCCGATAACTTCGATTCAGACTGTGGGGCTAAATTTTCGATTTTTTCTTGTTGATTTTGATGCGGTGAATCACGAAAGATGATCATTTGAAATTTTTCTTTAGACAATATTTCCATATAGTCAAATACAGCCTTTTGTTCTTCATCGAAATATTTTTTATCCATCTGAATTAAAAATCCATCAAATAATGGCTCAATTTTACGTAAAAGCGTTTTATCAATCATGCCATGTGTATCAGCAATATTTAATATTCGTTCAGGATTAAAAGAATAACCAAAATCAATATCGATTGTTTGTAGAAAATAAATACTTTCAACATTTTGCTCAAATGTGGATTGAAATAATTGATTTAATAATGTTGATTTACCTTTACATGGACCAATGCCAAACGATAATATTGTTGGTCTTGTATGATTCCATACATGGATAATAGCAGGCATAAATTCATATTGTTCATTTTTATTGGAATTTTGAATATTTGGTGAAATAAATGGTACTGGATTTCGTTTACTTGCTAATGACATAACAGTTCGTCTTATGAATATATCGGAATTCATGAATAAGACATGTAACAGCATTCGTAAACTCATATGTGTTGTTTTCGTTGACTGATGAATTAGTTCTTGTTGTATTGGTTGATATTCAATTATAAGTGTATTCATAAAATCATCTAAATTCTGCAGACGTTTTAATAAATACATTATAGGTGTTAAACAATTCTGAATAAATTCGGAAAACGACCTATGTTTGTGTTGAAAGTCATTAACCAACTTTTCTGATATATCTTTTAACGTTTGATTGACATATTGTAATTCACCAGCTTGTGCTAAATCTTCTAACTGAAATAGATTTTCTTGTTTACAACTTAAAATGATATTCATTTCATTTTTGTTGCAATCATCCTTTGGTACGCTATCAATGACCGGTATGGGTATTCGTTGGGTATCATTTACAGATTTTTGACCAGGTTTAATCTTTCCTTCCGGGGTTATTGATCTTTGCTTGGCTTCATCTACGAAAATAATTTTATAACAGATATCAAATATGATGCACTTCTCTAATAAATTATGAATACAAGATTCTCCCAAGAAATGGCAAAACTTGAGAATTTCATAATGAGTTCCGCATACTATAAGTTTACTACGTTAATTTCTATAGGATTGACAAAAGAAATCATAGTTTTACAATAAGATTCTAACAAACGAAAAATGCACACGTCAGAAATATCTCTTCTGCGATATTTAGATAGTAAACTTGTAAATATCTAATAGAACCATAGTGTCTACATAAATTCAATAAATATTTACAAAGCAACTCATTCTGCACATGTAGTTACTTATAAAATCAAATAAGAAAAAGTTCAAGTAAACTAAAATCTATAAGATTAGAAAGACAAATTATTCTTTCTATATGAATAGTTCTATTGAGAATCGCGAAATGTGTCATGATCTGCATACAAAAGAGCTTTCATATTATGCTTAGTTATACAACTATAGGCCATGCTATTAATACCGGGTATTTACATAAAATGCGTTCATAAGTGTTTGGCAATTGATTGAACTACTTCAATTTAACACAGACCGAGAGTAAACCAACAGAGGTCGTCGATGCTCCAAATCAAAACTGAGCAATATACAACACTGCGAGCAAATCGAATCATTGTTCTTTATATGCAGAGAAATTAGCCTTTTGGCTAAAACACAAACTGATGTTAAAAATATGAACAAACGATACATAAAGTCTTTCGGACTCTGTCTAGAGAGAAGATTCCGAGAGATTCCGATTATCGATTGAAGAACGGATAGGAGCAACGCGCATATACGTACAAAATGTTGTACCTGTGTAGTACTCTTTGCGAAAATGAACGACTTGTGGAGACAGATTTCGTGTGCAACAATACAATTTATAAACAAATTGAAAACGTGTTTTTAATTCTGTTGTCTAATAGCGGCAATTTTGCTCATATACGACGACATATATGACGATGGCAATTTTGCTTCTAACGGGTGGCCCAGAATAAATGAGTCTCTCCATATTTTCAGGATATTCTCTCTAACTTTTATCGTTTAGACTTCAACTTCTATTCTATAGATATGTCCTGAAATTCTGCACAACATAGGGTGTCCGACCGGGCAGATGCCTTTTCACCTAATTTTTAAGATACCGCTCAATTGAAAGACAAATTATGTACACTTTCAAACTTTTCATCTGAAATGTGAGGTTATTTAGAAGTACTACAGAAAGGAAAAATAACCATCGAGTGATGATAAGAATATGTATATTGAAAGATGACTGCTGATATGAGATTTAGTTTATACTTCCTAACAGCGTTTTGATCTCTATAGCTCAATGTCCTTTGTTCTCATACAAGTTAGGACATTTTCTGAATTACGTAGCTCTTTTTAAATAACAGCATTTAGGACGAATCAAATCATATCATGAGCTGGAGACGTAAAATAGTAATAATCTTTGTAATGAAAACATTAAAACACAGTCTCAAAAACAATCGAAAATTTGAGAAGTTTGAAAGTGTACATGATTTGTTCCTTCAATTGAACGGTGTCTTAAAAATGAGGTAAAACGGCATCTGCCCAGTCGGATATCCTATGTTGTGCAGAATTTCACAACGAATCTTTAGAATAGAAGATGAAGTCTAAACGATAAAAGTTAGAGAGAATATCCTGAAAATATGGAGAGACTCATTTATTATGGATCACCCGTTAGATCAGCAAGTGCATGGTTCAGATTTAAAAAAACAAAAGAACTGTAAAGGATGAACTAACTATTAGTGATCCATTGAGAATATTTAGTGGAAAAGGTAATGTGCCATTAGGTAATGAATATTTCAATCAGTCTCTTGAAATAAATGATTATATCAAAACAAAAATCGTTTGACCATACGATATTGAAATATTAAAGTTGTAGCAAAAGTTCAGTTGTTTATAGAAAATTGTTTCGTGGGGCTGTCTCTTTATTATTTATTTCAGCTAGTTCAACAACTAAGTAGTAAAAGAATCTTTAGCAAGACTTAGCGAACGCTAGAAGCTCAGGGGCAATTCCGAAGTCCTGAATCATTAGATGCTCTTGTATTTCTTCGTAATTGCTCGTGATCATCATATAAATCAGCTTATTTCGTTATTATTGAAGCAAGCTAAATAAGATACTGAACTTATATTCTGAGTTGCGATTAAGAATACAGTATACATAGGATTAAACCCATATAATGTGGACGCAGTAAGGATAGAAAAAGATTGAAAGTATTGAAGCGTGCGGGTCAGATAAGAGCACGAAAAGCTGTGCCCGTGCAGTGCTCTACCGCTATCAAGAATGATTTTGATAAGCGTGGCATTTTTCTACAGCTGACAAGTTTTAGGAGATGTCACGCACCTTCCGAATACTCATCGATTATAGCTGTGAACAGAAAGTCAGCTTTGTAAAGAGTTCTTGATGCTCACTGAGTTCGCTATAAACACTCATTAAGAGATTATAAACTGCCTCCAGAGCTTATACTATCAGAATATGACGAAACAGTAAATGTTACTCATACAAAATAAATATGCTATCAGACGCATGATCCGAAGCGCTTGTCGCTGATAAACTATTCAATATTATGTCAAAATAGGGTAACTCTAAGTTTCGATGACGATACCTTTAATGTACATAATAAATATGGTAGTGAGCTAAGGAAAAAGAAGCTGGTTGATTGAATAATCATCTATCATTACAATTCATTTCTAATCTTCTTAGCTTAAGAACTGATGAAATGTCTCAAAAGATGCAGTAGATCATACCTTTGAAAGCATAAAGTATATCAATAATGACATGCTTTCACTTTTTTGAATAACTATGTGGCACGTAGCACATTTGACTGCATTCAAAACAACAAATGTGCTCTGCATGCATAGTTTTTATAGAACTTCTTTTCTACTATGTACCATAGTTAGGGCATTTTCTACCAGTGAAATTAAGATTCCAAGCGAAAAAAACTTTAAAACAAGACTTCTATTCACATTAAATTACCTGGATTTCCCCTAGATATCGCAGGGTTTTTGGGTGGTGTTCTTGGTGATTTATTAACTGGTGTTGGAATATTACATTGGCGGTGCCGTTTTTCGTATTTTAACGCCTTTTGATTCTGGCGATTAGAATGGAGGTTTTTCAATAATATTCTATACGATTTCCGTGCTATATTGTCTGCGATTGGTTTCACATCAGTGGACCAACCATGTTCAGCAATATTATCTAGTACCACATTATACAACTTTTCTTCGTACGCAATATCGCTTGCTTTCAGTAATGAAAATACTTTTTCACGATAATATTCGCGTAACGCCTGAAATAGTATTGGCTGCCTTTTATTTAATAGTTCATTCGTAGCACCTTTAACAATATACTTAGAATATTCTGTAATTGATTTTAAACCATCATTGGTTATTGTAAACCATAGTTCATCGAAAGTAGTGGTTGTTTTCAAGCTTTTGTCATCAATCATTTGGAAAAAAAGTTGTAATACAATGGATAATATTGGACAATCTTTCATGTATTTATTTCCATATTCAGCAGTACGAGTTAAAACACGCTGATATATATCATGATTTTCTCCATTATCATACTGTTTAAGAAACGAGATAAACCATTGATTTGAAGTGCCATATTGTGTTTCCCATTTCTGTTGAAAATATTTTTTTAACAAGATAATCAATTTGTCATCATCGCCCTTCATTACATCTCTATAGGTTTTGGCTTTACTACCATCTTGATAGTTGACTAATGATTGTCGACCATTTTCCAATAAATCTTTAACAATTTGATCTTGATTATCATTTCTACCTAGTTGTAAAATATTTATAATTTCATCTGTAATTGATTTCATAGCATCTTCGCCAACATTGGCATTGCCTGAGTTTTCACATGAAGAAGGTTCTGTTCTTGACAAATCAGAAAATTCAGCCATTCAGAAAGTTATACAGACCTCGATTAATCGAAAAATGACTTTATATTCTGAAATGATAAAGAACAATGACGATTTCACGAATCTTTACTAGAGGAGTTCGGAATTAGAAAATCAGGAAAATAATATCGGTTAACTTTGTCTTAAGGTTGACTATTTTTTAAAAGTATTTCTCACTCTCTTGTTTCGAAGATTCACAAATATAGCTGCCAAACATTGTATTTACTCTTTATTGAATATTACAAGTTGATGGAAAATGCAAAACAGTCAAAAAGTCCATTTACAAAAGCTACATAGAATAGGAACTCACCACTCTCTAAAAAAATAAGGTCTTTTTACCGAACTTAGAAAAGGTTCTGCAGCCTACGAAACCCTTTTAGGTTCTTCCCCCGGATACATAGGAAGAGCCTCTTGTACGAAACCTTTTTAGCTTTCGTACTAAAAATGCGAAACCTTTAAGGTTTGCTATAAAATTTTTTGATGCACTTGTCTGATCGAATGCTGTTTCGTCTTCCATATTTATACGAGCCTCTGGGGAAAAGTTCTTACCGTATAACAAAGAAATTTCACTGTTAATGGCTTGTCTACATAAGTTGAGTAATAACTAGCAAGCTTTTTCGTGATAACACAATATCATATAGTAAGAATGAAAGACAGATAAGTTGCTTCATTCTATTGTCCATTTCGAACAAGAATGTGCTCCATTGTTTTTAGAATAACTCAAGAACGCTAGCAACTAGAAACATGCGGTTTTCACTATTCGAAAGAGAACACTGGGGGACACTAATATATGGAAAAACTTGATTGGCCAGCAAAGAACCAACGAGGTGAGTTTTGTGTGTTCTTTTTTAGAATGACAAAATGACATCTTTTCGTAGTCGATTTCAAATTCCAAGGTGATCATTCGATAGAAAAAATCGCTTTGATCTGCGGATGGCTAGTCTTGCTAGCTTGTTTCCTTAAGGAGTTATGATCATTTTCTCAGAGCCCTGAATCGGTCAACTGGCCGCTGGTCACTCTAAAGCAGATCGGAACGGGGATTTTTGACTACGCTGAGCGCAGTGGTGACGCTTGTTTTCAGTTTTAGAACTATCTTAGGTCAAAAACTCAAGAATTCGAAACTCATCATTGCCTTCATGCGGTATATAGAAACGAATCTCGACTTTTGACCTAAGGTATTTCTAAAACTGAAAACAAACGGCACCACTGCGCTCAGCGTAGTCAAAAATCTTGTTCTGACCTGCTTTACAGTGACCAGGGATCAGTTGGCCGATTTCAGGGCTCTCAGGAAAATGATCATGAGTTGACCTGCCGTCGACATTGAATCAATTGTTCAAGCCTATGGAAATGTTACAGCAAATTTTTATAACATTGTCATTAAGTGATGATGGTCTGTGTATTTCAAGACACTCGGGGAAGAAAATGTACCTATCTACTAATGTATACAACCTGCATCCACCGCTGGTAAATTAGAATATCTTTTTGCATTTTTGACCTTTGAAAACTAAAATAATGATCTTCTGAAACTATAATGATATGATGCTCTTCGATCGACTATACTGATTAACTCTCGAAAATTTATCACTTTCACAGTTTATAAACGTTAGATACCTTTTTTTTCTTTCGGTTTTTGCCATTGTCGATATTGTGTCTATCATCAAATATCTATATTTACCTTAATTATCAAGCTCTTACTGCCTCACTCCCGTCTCTGTTGCGATGTACGTTGACATCTAGAGAAAAATGCACGAGTACTCAAAAATATTAAAGACACAGGTGAGATAATATCTCTTGATGATAACCCACTACGAATAGGTATTGGATAAAAAGTGGCGTGATGATAGCCAATATTGACATACACGTCTTCTTTCAACTTTCGAGAGGATTTTGTGTATACCTCTGTGCCTGTCGCCAACCTTGAGTACTGCAATCATTTTTCCATTCTTGGACATCTTCACCAAAGACGAAAAGAATGTCTTATCTGCTGCTGATGAATGACACCTTCTAGCACTCCTAGTTAATATGTTTGAGCAATTAAAGTGTTGGGCAACAAAGAAGAGACTCTTATATTGCGGCGAATAATTCATGAATCATAGTTCGACCATCATAAAATAAGTTGATAGCGGTTGCTTGCAAAGGGCAAGGAAGCCTAAAGTCCTCTTTTAAAGCTTTTTTAGATACTTGTGGAAATGAAGAAAACCACGAAGTATCTGTTTTTCGTTCTTACAACTATAATCACATAAGCATAAACCGGGTCATTTAAATCGCACTATTAAGTCATCTGTACGCAAGTGATCTCCTGTTTTCTGAAGCGTTTTATCGATATAGAATAAAATGTTTTATTAATACTGAATTTTTTTTATTACGATTTTGAATACAGAGATTGTTCGAATCTTAGCAGGAACCATATTTTTTATGTTGTTGTAATTGTAATTGTGGGTGATTGGAAGTCCGTTGTGATAATGGTTGTGAGCGTTGGTGAGTAGATGATTGTTGCGAAGGTTGTAGTCTTATTTTTATCCATGGATCAACATTAGGATCTTGCGATAATTTGTATTTATCCCAAAACTGGGTATGTTTCAAGGAGTTTTTTTGTGCTTGTCGTTGAATGTCTCCGATGTCTTGCTGCCATAGTCATCAAATTTTCGTGTGTTGCAAGTATTGTTGGTTAGATCTCGTACCTCTGCGGAGATTTTCGTCGAAATTAAGTCACATTTTTGTTCAGATCGAATGGCACGTGCTTGTAATAGATTTATTTCGGCTCGAAAGAGATAATTTGCTACATTAATTCTAATCGTGGTTTCTTCTTGTGATTCACCTTGGATTGGTTTTATTTCAAACTTTTTTGGTACAATTTTTGGTTCTGATTCCAAAAAGTTTTGAAAGATTTGGGCTAGGTTTTAAGAACGTAGCGCTCGATGGAATGTTGTTTTATGTTGATTTTTACGAGCTGTCCATAAACGAACCTTCTCTTGTTTAATAATTTTAGCTTGATTTACAAATGCTATTTTGTTGGCTGCTTCTCGAATATCATTTGTCATGTAGAAATAATTGTTTTCCGGTGAGGTGTCGGGTCTCAGACGTTTTCCACTCGCTAGTGTACGCTCAGTTATTGTCTGATGTTGTATACTTGGTGACGAGTTCATAGGTAATAATAACCGAATAGCATCCGTCAAGCTTTTCATCATTTGTTCCATTCTGGCACATGTTTCCTACAGAAAATTTGTAGTTTCCATGCTCTATTAGGACTAGATATATGAAATTTTGCAAAAAATTAAATTCACCTAGTAGGTTAAAATATTGAAATTGCAACGGAGAAGGAAACTGAATTATTTCAAAACATGTTTTATTTTATTAAAACTCTTCAGTTGAAATAATATAAATATAAATGATGTAAATATAAATGATTTTCAGTTATTCAATTTCGGTTTTAGTAAGCGCCGAAAATAGAGCTCTTTTTGGCGTCTTTCATTGATGTCGCAGTTTAGAGGCATTTTGTATAGAGGATAGATAGAATAAGCTCCTCCTGAACAATTACGAATGTGTTCGTTCACCTTAAGTATTGTGTATTGCGAATGTGTATTGTGCAGTCGATGAACGTTAGCTCTTAGATGTAAAGGAGTACTGGTCTCACCTATGTAGAATTCTTTGCATCTAGAGCATATGAGGCAATACATGAGATTTTGTGTATTGCAATTCATATGCTGATTGGGAAATATTATTTTACGATTTTTTAGTATAAGTCTGTCTGCTTCGATGAGGCTGTGACACGTTTTGCAATTTGGTTAGTGACACCGAGAAGTAGCTGGACAATGATTAGGATATTTTTGTGTGGAAGTAAGAAGTCTGCGTAAATTTGGTGGCTGCCTGTAAGATGCGTGTATGGTGGCGTTGTGTAACAATTTGGATGTAGAAAAGACAGCTGGAACTAGAACACGCATAATAGGTAGTAAATTGGGATTATATTTCGTTGTAAAATATATTTTATTTGCATTTATGGAGTTGACTTTTCGCAGGCGAGAAATGGTGCTAGATTGTTTTGCTTTATGTATCGCATCTTGAATAAGTCGTGTAGAATACTTTTTTTCTTCCAACCGTAATGCTAATTGGCTGAAATGATACTCTCGTCGTGTTGGATCTAATACAATTAGTTGAATACGTTACGCTAGTATGTACGGAATATTACGTTTCAAATATGGCGGATGAGAAGAATTGAAATGTGTATAGTTAAATGAACCAGAAGGTTTAATATAAAGATCAGTAGATACTGTGGTGTGATCTAATGAAAGCAATACGTCTAAATAGTTAATTTGCTTTTGTTGATGTTGTTGATAAATTTGATAGAATGGTGCATACTATTAAGTGAATCGATGAACAGTTGCAGTTGTTGATCTGTATCGAGCAGTTAGCTTATATCTTATGAAATTTCGTGCTTGACATAGCCAGTGACGACAGAAAGTAGATGATTATGATAAATAAGACGTCGTTAACAATTCTATTTATGTTCGAAGTAAGTTATTCACTCGTCATGTAAAAGGTCGGTAATTAACAAAATGCAATCATGACTGGTTTCGGCTGAAGAGTCTATTTCAAATGAGATAGTTAACAACAATTACTACTCTAAACTAATATAACCGCAGCAGAAAAAGCGAATAAGACACAAAACACGAAGAATAAGTCACAGCAGTTTACACAAACCATAGTGATCAATCAAAAATTTTCTAACTGAGTACAAGTGGCCTCCTTTCTTTTTATTCTGCTATAATGGCTGTGTAATAATGTTCGTATGATTCATTAGTGTCAAGCGGTAACATCACTAAGCGCTTGTGTTGTTCCGGAACAATTTTCCTTTTCAGTCCCCGTCCTGATCCTGGCGAAAAGATTGGTCCCCTCACTCTCTACCAAATAGGTATAAAAAAGTACAGATACGGATGTCGTTGCCGAACAAGTTTCTAGATATATCATTTTTTTTCTCTTACAGACAAGAAAATGAATTATACCCTTCCTTTTTGCACATTCTTCGCTGCTGCAACAAAAGACTAAAATTCCTGCGTTGACACGCAGAAATCTCAAAATATCCTGTGAAAGGGCTTTTTTTTGACACTGATCGTGTATAATTCCTACAACTTAAAGTTTCTTTTTCGTTTTGATCGCTGGGAGAAAGATAAAAGGATTCCCTCTCACCTAATATAAAAATTTTCAACCTCCGCCTGTCCAAAGTCCTTCCTTTGCAGTTTTTATTGTTATCACATGTGAAATTACAAAAATTTTCAACATTTTTTTATCTATCTTCTGGATTAATGTTCACAGGCAGGCATTTTTTAGACCAAACGCACTGCTACACGCGTTTTTTTGCAAAACGTGTCTGAATGCGTTTTCTTACAACTGAAACCCGTTTGGACGCGTTAATCGGTGATAAATGCGTTTAAATGCGTTAGTTTGAAACGCGTTTGGCTGCGTCAGAAACTGACGCGCTAAACCGCTGTGGACATAAACTCATTTTGCCGCGTTCAAATGACTAACACGTTTGAACGCATTCAAGTTAAGCGCCTTTGGACGCGTTAATGTCTCCCAAACGCATTTGAACGCAATAGAAACAGATGCGTTTAGGTACATTTACTAACTAACGCATTTCGCATCGTAATTCGATACCTTTAACGCAGCTGAACGCGTTTGGAAGCATTTCGTAGATGCTGCTGCTAAACGCGTTATAATCCAACGCGGTTCACCGGATTTAAAGCATATTCCTTCGCAGTATAGCGAAAAGAAGGTAGATAACCAAAGGGAGCAGGATCATAAGGCTGATCAAGAGGATCAGAGAAGACGCAACTTTGTGGAATTTACCTAGTGCCAGACCTCAAGCACCTTCTGCTTTCACATACTGTAGCGACCAAAAAGTCTCGCCCCACTTTTGTGTTTTGCTTATTGTATGAAAAATAAACAACATTACTTCAATATAATTATATGCGTATATAGCTGAGGGGTAGTACAACACCTAGATATACAATGCATAAATACGATGAAAGGGAGCTATCTTTTTATTTAAAAAAATTTTGCACATGAATGTGATCTATGATATTTTTATGCTAAATGTTGATGTTGGCTGGGTTTAGGGCAATCATGATAGACATTGACTCCACGCATGAACCCACAATGATGATAATAATTATTAATATCTTGTTTGGATATTGCATAATATGAATTGATCATTGCTACTTTAATGTTACTTTCTGATAATAGTGAATGTTGTCGAACTTTGTTTTTAAATTCAGAAAAAAATGAATTTTCAAAAGGACTAATTCTTTTTGCAGAGTTCGTTGGTAGTAGTTGAATATTTATTATTTGCTCACATTGTCTTTGACGAAATATGTCTAAGGTTTTTGTTTACTATAAATACGTGCTTTATCCATAAATAAGCAAATGAGATATATGTCCTCAAAAATATAAAAACCGAACATTTTCAGTTGAAGTTGGCAAAGGACTGGATCAAATCCAATCATTTATATGTGCATGTTATTCGAGCAGCAAAAATATCTGCTGGATTCGTTGCCAGACTCAACTGAAGATGTTCAATTCTTGTTACATCTCCAAGTAATAATAGCCTTGTGACTCTGATACTAAAAAAACCTATTTAGTTTCGGTAAAACAATTACTACGTTATAAGTAGTGCCTTATTGAAGCTGTTTTTCTCAAGCGTACGACTTCATGAATCTCTTGAGTAACAGTTTCATAACACGGAGACATTTTCTTCATGCAAAACGTATTTTTTTCGAAAGTCATACACTTGACTTTCTTGACTCAAGTAATTGAGTTTCGTATGTCAAAGAAACTCATGCGCATTAAATCTTATCTCAGAGCACTTGATTTCATATAATTGGCTTTAAGCTTGACTCTCGTCAAGTATTCAGATTCGTTTAAATATTTCTCCCCTCATGCGCATACTTCAACCAACACAAGTCCATTATATGAGATAAGAAAGCCAGGCACAGATCTCATATCAAGCACATTGGGTGAATAAGAAACTCATCTACATGGAGACAATTCATGAGCGTGGAATCTCGTGTGCTTGAGAAAAAACCTTCACGGAGTAGGTTCTAGAAAACATTTTCTGTTGTATTTTCTTCGTCCTTCACTTGGCATTGAACCTCCATAACTATTAGTTGTCTAAAAATTCGTTTCAAAACTCAAAAGATTTTTGCTGAAGAAGCAAGAGTTGAGATCTAGCAAATTGATTTGCATTCCTCGAATATAGGTCGATTTGTTTTTCGATTGAACCGGTCTTGGTCTACTTGACTAACCGTCAAGAATGTAAGCTTGTGCATGTTTTAAACTATCGTTATTCTCAGTGTCATTAATAATAACTTGCATTATAACATGTTCCTTATCGATTACTAAAACGTGTTTTAGTGTCACCGTTCAACTGAAATCAGATATTATACTGAAATTACTGTATCTCACATTTATTCATGATTATTACGAAAAATACAAGTTCGTTATTTTAAATCATCAGCACGATTGTTGACGACTATTATTTACGAGCTTTCTCACCATCAGCTCTTCCATGTTGATAAGAATTGTAGTAGTAGGCGCCATTACTTCCCTTATCCGCTACATCTTCTGTCTTTGAATAGTACATAGATGGAGCCTTTAAACCGTCTTGATATCCTGCGGCATAAGAATGACTGTTGTTGTTACTGTTCGAACCGGATGGCTGGTTGCCCATCGGTCTAAATAGACAAGAACTGAACAATGAGCGAGAAAGAACTGCGATGAACAATCTTACGTTGACAAATTCGCACTTTGGTAAATCGGGTTACAGTTTTAGAAGCAGATAAAACGAAAACGTTTACGACTTTTATACTCTATGCAGAAAAGAAGCAGGTTTTTCCCCTCTCCTACACATCCCACTTAAATTTTCTTAACGTCGTAGAAGCTATTGCAAAAGAAGAACTCATAGAAGAACAATACGACGTGTAACTGCAGTAACATGTAAACAAAATGAATGTTCCGATAAATCGTGAATCACGAAAAACTTACATAGAACAGAAAAGAAGCAGGTTTTTTCCCTCGCCCACGCATCCGATTTAAATTTTCTTAACGTCGTAGAAGCCATTGTCAAGAGAGGGATAAGTATGAAAAAGAAATAGAAAGAGTTCAAATCTACTGATTCAGTTCATTTGTTCTCAACAAATACAAA